TCAGAAAATAAAGCCATACATCTGGGTACAGTCGTAATACTAATTTCCGAACACGACAAGATTGTAGAAAAAAAATAAGACATCGAGACAGTGTGCGGCCATTCAGCTAAACTTCAAGACAATGATATAGTTTACTGCTCAGTTTCTAGATGCAACATGAGGTCGAGATAGTAAACGACTGTGCAGCTTGACTTCGCATGAAATCGACAAAATGTACGATGATATAGCCAGACTTATCACGACATCGAGATAGTGTACGGTGATGTTGCAAACACCCTAACAAGACATCGAGATAGTGAGCGGTGATATAACTAACACTCTAACAAGACATCGAGATCATGTACGGTGATGTAGCTAAGACAAGACATCGAGATAGTGTACGTTGATGTTGCCAACACCCTAACACGACAAAGATAGTGTATGCTATGCTCGGGTAGCTAGACTTTATACAACTTTGGTATAGCCACACTTATCACGACATCGATATTATGGATGATTGCGTAGCTAGTCTTTTCGCGATTTCGAGATACTGAGGTCGTATATTTAGGCTACATCGAGAGAGTATAGAGTTATGTAGGTGGTCTTCTCACAACATATAGATATTTACCGACTGTGTAGCTAGTCCTTAAATGGCATCGAGATATTTACCGACTCTGTAGATAGTCCTTAAATAACATCGAGATATTTACCGACTGTGTAGCTAGTCTTTAAATAACATAGAGATATTTACCGACTGTGTAGCTAGTCCGTAAATGGCATCGAGATATTTACCGACTGTGTAGCTAGTCCGTAAATAACATCGAGATATTTACCGACTGTGTCGCTAGTCTTTAAATAACATCGAGATATTTACCGACTGTGTAGCTAGTCCGTAAATAACATCGAGATATTTACCGACTGTGTCGCTAGTCTTTAATAACATCGAGATATTTACCGACTGTGTCGCTAGTCTTTAAATAACATCGAGATATTTACCGACTGTGTCGCTAGTCTTTAAATAACATCGAGATACTTACCGACTGTGTCGCTAGTCTTTAAATAACATCGAGATATTTACCGACTGTGTAGCTAGTCCGTAAATGACATCGAGATACTTACCGACTGTGTAGCTAGTCCGTAAATGACATCGGGATATTTACCGACTGTGTAGCTAGTCCGTAAATGACATCGAGATATTTACCGACTGTGTAGCTAGTCCGTAAATGACATCGAGATATTTACCGACTGTGTAGCTAGTCCGTAAATGACATCGAGATATTTACCGACTGTGTAGCTAGTCCGTAAATGACATCGAGATATTTACCGACTGTGTAGCTAGTCCGTAAATGACATCGAGATAATTACCGACTGTGTAGCTAGTCCGTAAATGACATCGAGATATTTACCGACTCCATGGAGTACAGCGTTTATGGGGATTACGGGCAATTAGGATTAACTGCAGAAGCATGGTAAACATTTGATTCTGGTACCAATTACACTGATAACGATCTAATTCTGACTAACGTGCTAATAAACAATACAATGCTATTGACAGAGTGTCATGAAATTCTGATAAAGGGTTGGGACAATGTGCATTGACAGATGCTTCTATCGATTTCTGAGATCATTTATCTAACACAACAAGAATATCTGTTTTCTTTTTTCACTGTCTTTAAAACTCACAACCTCATTATCTCATATTAAAAGCAAATACTCCAGATATTAAAAGACGGATGTTTATTGTCCCAAACGTGTCGTATCAAAATGCGAACAAAGACAAAGAATACATTCATTTGACAATTTCAAATCTGTTTTACTTCACGGCTTTCCAATTAAACACACAACGATATCGTCGGTTGACGTTGTAATATAACGGTTTTATTACACCAGTTACATTAACTGCTGCAAACTACCATCATTTCAACTATGACGTCACAGCCTAATGGCTCCATAACCTTACAAAATTTTGACGGCAGACAAAATAGAATCAAACACAAAATGTTGCCACTTCCGCGTGAAAGTCATGAATATTACATTATTTTCCATTCAATGAGATCACTCTATATAAAATATATCGCAAATATCAATAAGAAACCTGAAAATTCTCCATGTAACACGCCTGTGTAAGAAATAGTACTAATGACCGGACGTTCCATGGGTAGAGCTAACGGTACAAAATAACACAAAGTACCTTCATTAGTCTTTTTCAGGATCGTCAAATCATTCTGGAACGTGTACCCAACTGACTTCCTTTAAACTCAAATTTTCAAATCATTACCACAACATATGCAAGAAAGCTTAAAATTTGTTTCGAAATTTTCTAACTCTTAAATCCTTATATATTCAACGATTTATTTTCGCCGAATAAATTTAAACCCAATATTAAAAAAAGGTTTATTGTTGAATCGATTATTGATCGACTGATCGATTAACTGATTGAGTGATCGATTTAACAAGGACATGTCCTACAGTTTAAACATCGGGACGGTTAATACTGGTCCTCAAGCATTGTCAGAGGTCACATTTGTCCCTTTTCTTTATAAACATGACAAGACCTCTAATCCGATTACGGTTAAAAAGTTTGCATATCAAACACCCGGTATCATCCAGACAATCGTTTTAAACATTGCTACTTCACTGCTTAAACATCAACCGCTTTTGTGAAGCAAACGTATTGTTAGCATATCAAAACATTCGGTTCCCGCCTCCAAGATTCCTTTCATACTTTTTCATTTCATATCAAACCAAATCACTAAATTCACAATATCTTATTTAATTTTCGAGCATCTTCTGATGAAACGATTTCAATTAACGTGCCATTTTTTCAATTTCAGAGAGAAAAAACGGTCGTGTTCAGATTCACTTCGAGATAGTGTAGCGGTTGGAGATTTCGTACAGTGTAAATATTGAACGAAAGAAGAGAACCGTTTTGCTACTTGTAAATACACAGAGAGCGGACTTTAACCGGTAGTACAGTTATACTCAGATATCGGGAACAGGTAGACTTGAAACGGATACAGTTTCATTACATACCAACTTCCGTGTCAACTTTGTAAACCTAATAATAAAATCAGAAAAAAACACTATCTGATTTATTAGACATTTGAATTCGTGAAATCAACATTTATTGTTCAATATCACTATTTTTTTTATAAATAATTGATTTCTTAAGCAATGATGACTTCTGAATGTTTTCTGAAATTTTTCAAATATGTTATCATTCTGAATTCAAACTAACGAGTCCGGATAGTACAAGTTATACAGCTGTGACGTCGATAGTATCGGAATTCAGGCCTTTTAATCACCCGGAGCGATTTAAATGGATAATAGCGTTATTAAAGTACATTAGAGCAACACAGCAACATTTCATTACCCCGAACTCTTAATCTTTTATACCAATCGTAGAAATTCACTTATGAGAAAAAAAATCGTTGCCCGAGTTCGGTTACAAGTCTCTAAATTTAAAAGCTAAATGTATATGATTACCAGGGTGTAGTTAATAACTTGATATTTGGGCAGTGCTCCCCGCTTATGTTGTCCGTATCTGATGTCTGTAAAAAAACAAACCTAGCTTATATCTCTATTCGACCTCCGGCCCAGGCTTTCTTCACTTCTCTCCTCTCTATATATCAGTAAAATTATCGTACACCGGAATACTCATTTATTTTCAGTAAGCTAATATATTCCGCTGACGACTACTAACATCTATACCGACATCAATATCCCGCTGTCAGTATAAACAATAAGTATTGTTAATTTTCTTTCTTTCTTCTGTCTTCTTTTCCAGATGTTTTTGGCGAACTGATGTAACAACAGACGCCTTCCTCTTTGCATATTGCACATCTGCGGCAATCCAACACCGCCGCTACCCTCCATGACCCCCTTTCCCCACCACCCCTAGGGCAAGTCTTTGTGTCTGTGAACCCTGACACTTGAAGACCAAATAATGATATGCATGTCAGTTATTCAACGTCAAATACTGTCATGAAACTGTAATAATTGTGATATAACACTGCACAATGCTATCGAATCCCAAGTACCTCCGAGAACACACTATCGTCAAAGTATCTGGCGCCAATTTACGACATAACGTTGTTTGTGACGTAGCGTTTTCGTTTTTTTTACGTTTATGAGAGACGCCGAGATGGCGGACATGGAAAAGTTGTCGGTCCTGTTTTGCTTGTTATAGATTAAGCTAAGACGAATTTTTAAGAGTAACTATGAATAAATTAATGTCACGATGAACTCGAGGCAGATCACGTGATCGCTTGATACAGTAGGTTGACGTGTTTCTGCTTTTCAGATTTTTCATCTGTTTGGCACATGAGTGTCTACATTTCACTTGATCGAATAATTCAAACGTGTGCGTGTGAATATTTCTAAAGCTATTCCCGAATTCATCGACTGATTCAGGACAGACTATAAAATCTACACACGAGTGCCATTAGGTTGTTAAAAAGCATTTGCGCCCTGAGGCGCAAGCGGCATGTACGGGCGCTTCCGTTCAAAAAAATGCGATGCTCTCCGATCACTTTGGCAACATAAGTTGATCGAAGGTCTGACATGAGTTCTGGAATATACTCAAAGAAAAAAAACGTTAAAATAAAGAAGAATAAAGATAGCATTTGTATGCTGTTGAATATATGGTATCACCATCTTCCACTCCTGTTTTTCTACAGCGATGCCAGCCCTTCCCTTCACTCCGACCAGCCCCTCCCCGCCCCCTCCCCGCCCCCAGCACCTCCCTTCACTCCGACCAGCCCCTCCCTTCACTCCGGCCAGCCCCTCCCTTCCCTCTGGCCAGCCCCTCCCTTCCCCAGGCCAGTTTCTCCCTGTCGTTAAACTACTACCCAGTTCCACCAACATTATCCTTTTCCTTCCGGCCAGCCCCTCCCTCCCCCGGCCAGCCCCTTCATTTCGTTAAACCACTACCCTTCCCACCACCATTATCTTTTTCCTTTCGGCCAGCCCCTCCCCCCCCCCCCCCGCCCCCAGCACCTCCCTTTCGTTAAACCACCAACCCTTCTCTCCATCACTATCATTTTCCTTTCGGCCAGCCGCTCCCTCCCCTAGCCAGTCCCTCTCTTCCCCCGGCCAGCCCCTCCATTTCGTTAAACCACTACCCTTCCCACCACCATTAGCATTTTCCTTTCGGCCACCTCCAAATTTTGTGACTTTCTCACTACGGTGTAACCAGTCGTGTGTAATCTGAGCGTCCTAACAAACCCACCTTCCTAAAAATGTCAAAATAATTTGTTAAATAACGTTTGTCATGCAAAATCTAATTATGTGCAGGTAATTGGAGTAAATAATTGTTATTTAAGAAATACTTTGAGTTTCCGACAATACGTATTATTCAAACTGAAAAGCATATGTACCACAACGACGCGAGAATGTTTGTAACACATGTAACGACAGTGTTTTTAAACATACATTATGACTACCTGTATATAACAAATACTTGTCTATAAAGATCACATACATAGACATACTTACCCGTAAATAAATGTCTCATATATTTAATAAATACCTGTCTATGAAGATCAATTGTGTCTGGTTACTATGCAATATGATTTATACTGTAGCAACTTAACTACAAAATTATAGGACACTTGTAAGGTTACCGAGCTAAACTCTGTTAGACACCAAATGTTGGTATTTTATATCAGCAGTATGTATCACGTGACTTGAAAAGTAATAAATGTACCTATCGATGAAATTGAAAACACTTGTTTAAAACGTTATGTCTCTTCCTTGGATGTTCAATACACGAGATGTGACCTTTTGGTAAAGCAAGTTTTTCCCTCGTTACGAGCAAGATCGTTTCTAGTATAGTACGCGCAGGTAACACGAGACTGGTAGAATGAGACTAAGTTCCATTTGGTGCACGTACTTGTCGTGAGAATTCTTTTTTGAATGCACCCTTGACAAGTTTAATGGCTGACACGGTTTCAACCGTACTGATACGGGTTAAAATCGATCTCCCGTGATCACAGGGGCATGGGAATGAAGACGCTGGATTAAGGTGTGACTCACGTGGTGAGCAATTTCCATTGTAAAATGGTATCCTTCTACCTTCAATGAAAGCAACACCTATCCAATTTTCATTAAGAATGATAATCATGTGTTTGAAAAAGTTCTCTTAAAGAACGCAGCAGAAAAGCTCATTGTAAGGTAAAAGATATATCGTTTACTGTTTGGGACAACTTTAACAGTTTTAGGGGGTGCAGAAGGAAACCTTTATCTTCACAAAGTATCATACTGTTATTGACACACCGGGAAAGTCAAGACACATTAAAATATAAACTTTATTTATTTAACAACAATTGCGAAACAAGTTATTTCAACTTATACTAATTACACTTGTTGACCTGGATGTAAGCGCGCGAGTGGTCGCAAGACACATTAAGTATATATTGTATTGGGTTCACAGGCGCCTGTGAGATTCAGTACAATCTAGCACAGTACACATACTATTACAAACACGCGTGTATTTCGTAAATGGATGTGTTGCCTAATCATTTCCCGGCTCAATACAGCCATGTACGTGTCAATTTTCCGCCTTGGTAATTCCGGAATCCAGCCATAGCTCATGTTACCGTACAAATGTCTACGTTTGAAATGTAACACCATTGCCAGACAATAACGTTATTGGTAGTATTGTGTGGGGATTTGTGTTCTGTTACACGGTATATAGAAATAATTCTATAATATGTCCGTGGCAGATATAAACAATGAACGAATGTGACTTCATTCATGAGTTTGATATCATAATAGCAGTAATCATCTATTTTTAACCTACCGTGGTGGATAATTTAGCTCTGAAACAAATGAATTACATATGTTTCGTTCGCGGTTAGTCAAATTCTTTAAAATCACATTAAAAAGCCATTGCGGTTTGTCTCAAACATATACTGTACGTGTCAGTGCTTTATTGTCCCTATAAAAGGCATGCTCCAATCATTCATATAAGATTTTCAGGTTTGTGAAGTTTCTCTTTGATTCACTGATCAACGGACGAAAGACAGAGCAACACGAGATCATAACTGACGGACAGTTTCTATAACTGACTGACGAAAGACAGACTAACACGAGATCATAACTGACGGACAGTTTCTGTAACTGACTGACGAAAGACAGACTAACACGAGATCATAACTGACGGACAGTTTCTATAACTGACTGACGAAAGACAGACTAACACGATATCATAACTTACTGACAGGCCCTGTAACTGACTGATGAAAGAATGAGAAAAACAACATCGTACCTAACGCTTGGGTTCATATAACTGGCGGATGAAAAAAAAAAATTCTGGAGGAAAAAAGCCACTCAGAAATAGTATTGACGAACAACACTGTTCAGATCATGAAAAACATGATAATAAACCAGTGAAATGGTCTTATCGTTTGATGGGCTCATTATTTGTGAGAGCGACAAGTTCCGCGCAATCTGCAGTCTTGGTATTCCAATTAAGATAGGGATGCCCGTAACAACAAGGTTGATACTATGGCAACTGTCTGGTTGACAACGCGACAGACAGTCCTTGATCTAATTAAGGCAACTTTTATTTAATATACGATACTCATTTGAGATAAATTAAATTACGTTAGGTTCAATGGGTCAACTTGCGACTGTAAACGGTCAATAAAATCGCCCCCCTGACAGGCCCAGGTGGGTCGGTGTGACCTGTTACTACACACAGAAGGCCAAGGTAATCGGTAGGTTTCTAAGTCTGCAGAATGCATCGGGGTCAATCCATCTTATCTTTCTATGGGCGATACATACCGAGGATCTTACCCGAGAACAAAATGAAAATTCGTATCAAGTTTCATAAATTTTATATAAAATAGAAATTAAAGATTAAATTTTTTCACATAACTTTGATATTTTTGTAAACAATCTTAACAATAGCATTTTATTAGACAGATACATAATTACTTTACATTGGCGATATTCTCACTCTCTAGCACTTTCTTTGGTGACGTCATGAAATTATGACGTCACAATAAAACTACAAGGAACTTTCAGCCAATTAAATCTACACTAGGTCATATTTCAAAAGTGTAATAACAAATATTCATGTAATTGGTATTATTACACTGAAAACATTTTGGTTATGTGATAAATCCCGTGTCGACCATGGATAATTACGATTGTCCTCAGTTGAAATTAGAGTAGTTTAACTAAACTGTATTTTATATAAACTTGCATAGCAGATGTATTAAAGAAGATATATTTAAAGCTGTTTAAAGCTATCGGAACTATAACAAAATTAACGGTATAGGTGTATATCTTGTGCCATGTATGTTGTTAACGAGTGTAAACCTATAGTGTACCTGCTATACAAAGTCACAAGATCAATATTTCCATTACGCAATTTTCTGTATCTCTTCCAACATACAGTCACTGTATACAAAGGGCCTAGTTAGTTACAATTGTGCACTGAATCCACATTGAATGTCCTACTTCAATTAAGATCCCACATTCTGTCTAGGAAAACAAGCTCAATTTCCAAGCTCGAGTTGGAAGCTTGGGGTGTATGTACATTAATCAGCAGCAGAGAGCATGGTTGTCAATTTTAATGGCTTTGCTCAATCTATTTCTGTGAAGGTAAATGAACATCGACAAATTACACTTGTGTTCGAGTATTGACGATTACACTTCAATACGGGTGGTATTCATACAAACATCTTACGTGAGTAAAGCGCTAATATTACACGTGATTTTCTAAACGTGAGTTTAGCGTTGTCATTACACGTGTATGTAACGCTAACATTACAATTGAGTTTAGCACTAACGTTACACGTGAGTTCAACGAATAACACATGAGTTCAACGCTAACATTACACGTGAATTTAGCTCTAGCATAACACGTGAGTTTAGTACTCATGTTCATACGAGTTTAACGCTGATTTACATGTGAGTTCAGCTCTAGCATTCATTACACGTGAGTTTAGTGTTTATGTTATAAGTGAGTTTACCGCTATACATATGTATTACACGTATATTCAGCGCTCCGATTACACATGATTAAACACTGGCATGTGAATTTTAGTACTTTAATGACTTTACATTAGCAATATCTTTAATTATATAGGCGTTCCTGCTTGCATCACACGTGAGATTGGTTCTGATGTCACACTACACATAAATGGTGACATTACCAGCAATTACGTTAAAACGACAATGATAAATCATAGGATTGTCAGACTTTCCCTGTCCGTCGCGTCGGCGCTCCTTTGAATATGTCCTCTTTGGACTGAGGGTCAACATCAGAATCTCGTGACAATCCGACAGCTACCAAGTCTGTTTATTCTCAATGACCTCGGATTCGACACCATTTAAACCTTGACCTTCAACCACGTGTTGAATAAATTGGATCAGATAATATCCCAATTTTTCTGAAATGTCACGGAATTCATCTTGGCAATTTAAATAGTGAAAAGGTCAAACCTCTGGAATTGTCCCCGATATTTTAATCATAACTGTCTACAGACGAGGTTCTGCTAGCGATTTGAATTGTAGATATTGAATGTATTTTGTATAGTTACAATAAAGAAGATGGAAAATTAACATAAAAAAGTCTTTTCACAGAAGTGTTTGAATAAACGAAATTGTCCTGTAGTGAAAGCTTTCTTCCAGCCAGAGGTTTGTGAATCACTGATAGTGAAAATGCGAAATCTGCCAGTCTGATTCAGTTGTGAAGTTAACGTTGATACAACTGACGACCGAGACAATGTAGAATAGCATAACATACCAAGACTGTATCCACTATGTCGACAATGGTTTGAAAAAAAATTAAACTCGGTTTGGGTATTGAAATTCTCTACAACTATATCCACAGTAACATATGTTTTCTTCTATACTAAACTCATAACTATGTCCATGCCCTTCTATTTTATTTCAACTATCTGAAAATATTCTCTACAATGATCCATATCGTGGTTCATATTTTGATGTTTTGTGTCTGTTTGGCTCTGATCACGGAGTTCAATCTATATCTACGTCCGTGCATTGATTTAAAATACGTTCACGGAAGTCATATGTTATAGCCGTTAACAGTGTTTTTTTTCAATCTTTAGGACGGGATCGGTACCTGTGGCTTTTGAAGCTGTGGTTCCTGGATTAGCGAAGACAAGTTTGAAGATTTCCCGACGGAAAAGTCCCTGTCTACTAACTTGAAAGTGTTCAATATATTTCCTCTTTCATACCAACAGACGACCATTTGACTGATAATGGCGCCTGTTATTGGCGTTGCTACTTCAACATTAGTGATTTCCAAAAGGTACTTAATATCCAGGTCTTACACATTCAGAAATCAATTCAAGAAGTGTATCTCCAGCTCTATAAGCTCGCCCGAATGTCTGTCATCCCAAGCGCCTATTGAAATCGACAATGGATTCGGCGATTATTACGATGAATTGAACAAAAATTACAAGCGTTTGAAAGATGGAGAATATCACTTACTGTGAGCGTTACAAGCCCTAATTTGTCGTCGTAAGATCGTTCGATTGTCGCCATCGGAAGCACTGTGCGAAACGATTCCTCATCTAAGCACTTTCAAATGGTGATATTTCAGCTACTTTCTGTAGATTTTTATATATTTAAATGACGTCAGCAGTCACAGTTCTGTTGTAAATTGCAAACATATCTCCTTTGTTTCTTCATGTTAGTAAGGTGTTATCGAGTCGGATTTTCAAATTATTTTGTCTGTACCTACAAAACAAGGGAAACCGTACTGTCGGAAATTTCTACATGATGTATACTTCACCAGACATGTGTCTGTGAAAAAGTCTATTGTCTGCTCTAGGTGTCACAGGAAACACCGACAAAGTTTCATCGAATATTGCTTAGGCCTACACAAGGTAAGATATAAATTCGATATAATTAAACACATCTGTAGAAATGTCTCAATCTGCTTATAGGACACACGGATCTTAAATTTACAAACCCATCACCACCATTCAAGGATAGACGTAGGCCGATTGGTGATGTGAAACTTTTAAATCGTTGTTTACAAAAAACTCGTCTTACCTGGCGAGTTACAACGAGATGGACGGTCATGTACACATATACAAGTAATTTTTTTGCGAAAATTTACAAATGTACACAGTTCATATTTTTTAGTTGTTTTTTGTTTTTCATAAGTGGCATTTGTGCAAGTAATATTGTTTGGTGCGCTGATATTTGTACCTGTATAAATGTACACATATGTCGATATGTCCACACATCTATATATGTGCATGTACACACATATATACCCGTACACTTATTGCCTACAGGTTTCACTCTCGGACAAATGGATCTCGATTTTCTGGCATCACTTACGAGTCCTAGGAGGACGAAACAACTGTATGATGTAGCATAACTTACGAGTCCTAGGAGGACGAAACAACTGTATGATGTAGTGTAATTAATTCTTTGGCTGTATTATATCTAACTCTAAATTTGTATTGAAATTTGCTCTTTATTGGCGTGTCTTTCGCGCAAGTTTTGTAATATCATGTAGACACATCAACATGTCTACCCACACTTAAACGTATATGTTTCACTCTCGGACAAACTTACTTCTTTTTTGTAGTATCACATACACACATATACATGTTTCACCCTCGGACAGATGTACTTCAATGCTGTGGTCTCGACTCATTTTTATCATTTATAAGCTTAAGCCATACAAAAGTAAGTTATGGTATTGCGTATAAGACAACAACAGACATATATTGTCTAAATTGTTAACTGTATAACTCTCAAAAACCGCGTGTGAGCAGAATTAAGTGTTCGTCTAGCGGAGACGGAGGGCGGGATAGATAAACGCTGTCACGTAACGAACGTGACAAATTCATCACCCACCTGTCTCTCACGTTCACACGTGTAAATACATAACGATGTGCGAGGCTGCACAAGTGATTAACTAATTTAGTGGCTCCTTGTGACTGTCGACAGGTAAACAAACAAAGGCAGTTGTAGCACTCCACACCTGTCGGACTGGTTAGCTTCAAAATAACTTTTATACGTGTTTCTGTCTTACTCTGTTGAATTATTACTAATATGTCGGCATAGAATCCAAATGACATGTTATCCGGAGACCCGATTATCCGAACGTCCTGAAGTCCGGAAGCTTTAGATTCTGAACGTGGACGTAAAACTACATGAACTTGAAACGTCAGCATACGTGTAATTAAATGTGTCGGATTCACCCCTCTCTACATAGCACACCTTTGTAGGTTACCGTCCTCATGTGACCATGGCTGGTGAAAGAAAAATACATTGAAATGTTCTCATATTAAACATTGTATGATTCCGATAACTGAAGCTTCTTGTTATGCAGATTATTAACGGCTATCGGGTAGCAAAGTGGTAACAAATTCACATTTCACCCAGGCGATCGGGGTTCGATTCCCCGATTGGACGTCAAGAGGTTTTGAGTAACGTACTTGACCACAAGGAGTTTATGCGAGTACCCTGACCCCACGTGAGCTTTAAAGTAATCAACATACGCTTATATGATATTGCGGTTTTTGTAAAATAACATATCGTTCATAATTTATTTGAATCCAGCTGGAGTATGCACAAAAGCGGATATCTCGGAAAATAACTTTCCGATTCCAAGTACTGTTTTCCTCAATTAAAATCATCTCCGTGCTGTTGTGCAGGGAGTTCGCGTGTAGTGAAGCACATTCAGAAAACATAGGATGGAGATACAAGGTTTTCACCTCAGTGTAAAAGATTACACCTTTAACTGAAATTACACAATTGTCTACATATGTTCAGTGATCTTTATTATCTTGGATCTTCTGCATAACTGAATGCTACAGTGAAAAATGTCTTTCTTGTTTTCTTTTGTTTTACACTCAGCAAATAAGTAAGCTTAAAGACACGAGCATTTGTCATATACACGAATTCCGTGTACGTGTACTCGTGTTCTGTGTACGTGTACACGTGTTCTGTGTACGTGTACTCGTGTTCTGTGTTCGTGTACTCGTGTTCTGTGTACGTGTACTTGTACCTCGTGTACTCGTATTCTGTGTACGTGTACTTGTACCCCGTGTACTCGTGTTCTGTGTACGTGTACTCGTTTTCTGTGTACGTATACTCGTGTTCTGTGTACGTGTACTTGTACCTCGTGTACTCGTGTTCTGTGTACGTGTACTTGTACCCCGTGTATTAGTATTCTGTGTACGTGTACTTCTGTTCTGTGTACGTGTACTTGTACCCCGTGTACTCGTGTTTTCTATGTACGTGTATTCGTGTTCTGTGTACGTGTACTCGTGTTCTATGTACATGTACTCGTGTTCTGTGTACGTGTACTCGTGTTCTGTGTACATGTACTCGTGTTCTGTGTACGTGTACTCGTGTTCTGTGTACGTGTACTTGTACCTCGTGTACTCGTGTTCTGTGTACGTGTATTCGTGTTCTGTGTACGTGAACTCATGTTCTGTGTACGTGTACTCGTGTTTTGTCTACGTGTATTCGTGTTCTGTGTAAGTGTACTCGTGTTCTGTGTACGTGTACTCGTTTTCTGTGTACGTTTAATCGTGTTCTGTGTACGTGTACTCGTGTTCTGTGTACGTGTATTCGTGTTCTGTGTACGTGTACTCGTGTTCTGTGTACGTGTACTCGTGTTCTGTGTACGTGTACTTGTACCCCGTGTAATCGTTTTCTGTGTACGTATTCTCGTGGTCTGTGTACGTGTATTCGTGTTCTGTGAACATGTATTCGTGTTCTATGTACGTGTAATCGTGATCTGTATACGTGTACTTGTGCCCCGTGTACTCGTGTTCTGTGTACGTGTACTCTTGTTCTGTGTACGTGTACTTGTATCCCGTGTACTCGTGTTCTGTGTACGTGTTTTCGTGTTATGTGTACGTGTATTCGTGTTCTGTGAACGTGTACTCGTGTTCTGTGTATGTGTACTTGTACCCCGTGTACTCGTGTTCTGTGTACGTGTGCTCGTGTTCTGTGTCGTGACTTGTACCCCGTATACTCGTGTTCTGTGTACGTGTACTCTTGTTCTGTGTACGTGTACTTGTATCCCGTGTACTCGTGTTCTGTGTACGTGTTTTCGTGTTATGTGTACGTGTATTCGTGTTCTGTGTACGTGTACTCGTGTTCTGTGTACGTGTACTCTTGTTCTGTGTACGTGTACTTGTATCCCGTGTACTCGTGTTCTGTGTACGTGTTTTCGTGTTCTGTGTACGTGTACTTGTACTCCGTGTACTCGTGTTCTGTGTACGTGTACTTGTACCCCGTGTACTCGTGTTCTGTGTACGTGTACTTGTACTCCGTGTACTCGTGTTCTGTGTACGTGTACTTGTACCCCGTGTACTCGTGTTCTGTGTACGTGTACTTGTACCCCGTGTACTCGTGTTCTGTGTACGTGTACTCGTGTTCTGTTTACTTGTACTCGTATTCTGTGTACGTGTACTTGTACTCCGTGTACTCGTGTTCTGTGTACGTGTACTTGTACCCCGTGTACTCGTGTTCTGTGTACATGTACTTGTACCCCGTGTACTCGTGTTCTGTGTACATGTACTTGTACCCCGTGTACTCGTGTTCTGTGTACATGTACTTGTACCCCGTGTACTCGTGTTCTGTGTACGTGTACTTGTACTCCGTGTACTCGTGTTCTGTGTACGTGTACTTGTACCCCGTGTACTCGTGTTCTGTGTACGTGTACTTGTACTCCGTGTACTCGTGTTCTGTGTACGTGTACTTGTACTCCGTGTACTCGTGTTCTGTGTACGTGTACTTGTACCCCGTGTACTCGTGTTCTGTGTACATGTACTTGTACCCCGTGTACTCGTGTTCTGTGTACATGTACTTGTACCCCGTGTACTCGTGTTCTGTGTACATGTACTTGTACCCCGTGTACTCGTGTTCTGTGTACGTGTACTTGTACCCCGTGTACTCGTGTTCTGTGTACGTGTACTTGTACTCCGTGTACTCGTGTTCTGTGTACGTGTACTTGTACTCCGTGTACTCGTGTTCTGTGTACGTGTACTTGTACTCCGTGTA